TCTGGATGTAAAAAATGTTTACATATAATATTTAGCAATTCGAGTGATTTTGGTTGTAGTTTTTGTATGCTTGTTTCTAGAGCTTGAAAGAATGCGTTAAAACAATTAAAGAAATGTAAAATATGTTTTAAAAATAATAAATATGCTTTTACATCAGATTTGTGCATCACAGATAATAAATTTTGTCTAGTCTGCGTTGTATCACACATACTACTATTTCTGTTAAAAAATTATTAATAGTATCCCAAGATTTTAAAATTCTTTTAATACACAAATGTCGAGAAAGCCATCGTGTGTCGCACAACTTTAGAATTTTGGTGTTTGTTTCTTCAAAACATTCAAAAAAAGCAGATCGCTTTGGACTACTATTAATAAAACTTGCTACTTNTTTTACGAATTCCTCGCAATAGTCTGGAATCTTATTGCATGCAGCATTAGCAATNAGCGCAGAGGCATGACAAGGGCATGGAAATGTTAATAAATTTTTGCACATTGTCTCAAGCTTTGTTTTAAATGACGAATATTTGTCCGTCATAACAGACGCGTTGTCACACGACAAGGCGACAATGTTTNAAAATGGAATTTGAAGTTTCCACATTTCACATTTAAACGCATCAAATAATTTGTCTGCGCTGCAATCTTTTGCATCGATATCAATTAATTTGACTAATTGCAAGGAAATATCTAATGTTTCGGGATTAACATACCGAACAAGAAACGTCATCCATTTCTGATTAGAAATATCTGACGTTTCATCAATAAAAATAGTAAATTTTGTATTTTGAATAATGTCGACTACACGGTCCGTTTCAATCGGACATAACACGTTCGAAATAATCTTTTGACATTTCATTCGACCCATTGACATGCTTTGTAATACATTGACATCTTTTTCTATTTCTTGGAAGAATTTTAAAATTTCTGGCGCAGTACACTGAGAGAAATGTTTGGTGTGAATAACAAAACTTTGGTTACTGACACTAAAACGTTTTGTTGATATGTGACCAATCAAATAGTTGGTTACCACGCCGATATTACTTTGTTGAATTTATCAAAGAAACTAATCATTTAATAACACAAAACTATTTGGTATGATATTCAAAAATNTTTTATTGTTAAGAATAAAACATTTTGTTACCGGAACAAAACAATTTCACAAAAATGAATATAAATCCAAAATCGTTTTGTCAAAATAAAATAAATAGTTAGTTATTTTAACCAAACTTTTNTTTGTAAAATGAAACTTTTTTTGTTCTTGTAATCATATATATTTTTAAATATATTTATATATATAATTACGAAAACAAAAGAATTTAATTCTTCAAAAGAGAACGTTAGAAGAGACCGATAAGAGCAAAGACACAATTAGTAGTGTGTATATATCATTTATTAAATTATAGAATATAATATATTAGATATAATATACTAGATATAATATATTAGATATATATAATAATAGACATTTCGATCGTGGGTTATGGTTTTTCTCAATACAAAGATCGAAACCCACTGTCAAAACGTCTATTATACATCTTGATAAATGATCTATACATACTAACTGTGTCTATACTCCTATTGATTTCTTACAACGTTCTCTTTTGAAGAATAATTTGGAGCAATCTCAGCATCATATTATATTTTTTAGAGGAATTTACATGATATATTTATTTTTATATAAGCTTGTTTATATATAATACACATTTATATATATATATCTATTATAGTATTAGAAGAAAATCCACAATAACATTTTATTATAAGCATACTTTATTCTTTCAAAATTATATATAAACTTTTGGCAGATATAACAATATGTGACGGTAAAATACTAACTAAACTATTATATGCAACACATTTCCAGTTATTTGAATATTTTACTTCGTAGCTTTGTACATGACTGCAAAATCTTATAGTGTCTATACATTGTACAAAAAAAAATATATTTTCATCTGTATNAGAAAATATCANTTCAATTTTCCCAAAATNTGGAAATATTTCGTCGCGGAAAATATTTAAAATAAAACTTGGCTTATAATAAATACCCTTTATATTTATCCATGTTATTGCATGAAACGTTNNACTTGGTAAAAAGATTTCAAAGTTACGATAATTAGGAAATTTCGATATTTGCTGCATTGAAAGCTCCTTTCCAAAAGATATACGTCTTTTTATACCAATGTTGTGAAAAAGTCTATAGCACAGTTTTAACTGATGTTTAATGGCTAAGGTTAATGGTAAATTTCGTCTTGAAGAAGAAATATGAGCAGCAATCTTTGATTGTCTATGTTTTGCTTCATATCGCATACACCAAATATTTATTAATGGACCTACAGATTTCATAACGCGCGCATAATGAAGCAGGAAATGATGTTTCGGTTTTAACACATCTTTAAATAAGTATAAATAAAGTTGATGATGCTCAGTAACTAACGCATCTAAATACTCCAAGCAATGTAGAGTAAAAAATGGTGTAAGTAATATGGTTACAATTTTGTTTAAACAAATGTACAAATTCCAAAAATCATTGTTTTCAGGAACCATATGTCCAATAATAGGACCGAAATGAATAACAAACGTTATTGTTTCTGAAGCAGATAGACCTAGATGAAATCTTTTCAATTTTTCTATTTTCAAGAAAGGTGGACGGTTTCCTTCTTCAGGACCAAAATCATACGTACCTATTCTATCATTAAGATGCTCTAATGTAAACAAGTTTGATTGTATAAAATGTAATATTAATTTACTCATATCATATTGACAGACACCTTCAAATATATCATGCATTATATCACAACTCATATTTTGAAGAACATGAAAAGAGTCTAATTGATTCCAAACACATATTTCAGTTAAACCAGTACATGAAACGTCATTTTTTTGCAAATCATTAGTATATTCACTAACTGTACGCAATAATTGTTTATCTTCAGTTGTTTGATATCTTATTTGATCAAGAGATGCTTTACAAAATCTACAAGGATAGTTTGCAACAAAACTTTTTACAAATCCACAAATTTCATGTACGCCTAAATTATCTCCGATAACAAGAGCACATTTTATATAAATATGTATACCTTCTTTAGTAAGTAATCCTGACTTTTCTAAAATCTGTAATTCATTAATCAAAGGCCTAAACGTAGCTTCATTTCCATAGACTTCTCTATCTTTATTCAAAAACAATAATGTTAAGAAAATATTATCAAGTTTTGAACGTGCTTCTGGAGGCAAGCAAGGTAATGAAAAATATACAGCTCCCATTTTATGAACACCTACATGACCACCTAACGGATTATTTGTCTCAAATTCATCATAATAAATTATTAATGGTAAAACAAGTTTGTCATGAAAGTTTTGGCTTAAATGTTTCCATAACTCTGATTGAATTATATTACTTACACAATGTGAATCATTCGTCACTTCTTCCATATAATCCGACATATCTTTTAAAATATTCGGTATTTCAAATATTGCTTTAAGGACTTGCATTACAGAAATAAATTGACCTGTGACATTATTTGGAATTAATGTGAAAATATTGTTAATCTTTCTACTTTCCATAGTTTGACCAATTATATAAGAAACGGGTTCTATATAACAGCCTTTTTGTGTAAAATATTGTTTTCTTTTATATTCTGTATCTAAGCCGTTAAAAGGATTTTTACATTGATTTAAAAAAGACGTATATGTTTGTTTCATGATTGCCGGAGCCTGTAAAATATTCAAACTTTGGTTGACTTTACTTTCTACCATGCTCATAATGTTTTCCACCAAATTTGAAGTGACATCTACAACTAGCTGTACATGTTGTCGCGTCATAGAATTATTATTATAAAAATATGATAACGAAGAAGCAACAGCTTCTTGTATTTCTTTAAACTTAAAATTATCAGAATCAAAAGTAGTTGCTAATTTTTTATCTGTACTGACGCTATTATCACTGTTTTCTAACTCAATATTTGACACGTCAACTGACTGTAGTTCTATCGCTTTATTTAAAGTCTGTATATTTTGTTCTTCGTAGAAGAACGCGTCCATTAAAAAAGTGATCATGTAATAAATGTTTTTCAAAACGACGCGAAGATTGAAATTCTCGAATGCACAGCGGTTGCGCGCAAATATATTTATCAAAAACACTAAAACTATGTTGAAGTTTTAAATGTTTTATAAGTTTTTTTATAGAACTCAAATTTATTTTGCACACTTGACAGACATACATGTTAAGCGGATTATAGAACAATTATTTTAAATATGTGAGTAGATATATTTTCACTTATATAAAGAACACTTAAAATATAACTATATACTTATTTTGTTGAACGTACTTATTTATATAATTATTATTTTTCAAAAGAAAAACAAGCAAATAGAATGCAACAGCAAATAGAATCTACATATATTAAAACCTTTAACCTTTTATTGCAATCTTCATATTTTACATAATTCTTTTTCAATGGACACAATTTTGGTATTTATAATGTCGGTATCGTACTCAGTAGTCATTTTATACAAACATTTTTGTATGAGAAACCATACCTGTTCAGANTCTTTCGGATAACTGGCATGCAATACAAAAAAGCACTTATANCATAAGTCGACAGCTTTGAGAGCACTGTCAATTTTATATAAAATATTATCAATGCAAACATAATATGCGGTGACTGAGCTAGCGTCACGTCCTACAAAAATAATAAATGGTTGCAAAGTTAATTTTAATGCAGCTGCTCTATTTCTCTNACATGCAATACTATTTTCAAGATCAGTCGGATCCTGCAATAAGAAAAAATTGAACATTACATTCTCTTATATTTCCACAAACATCAAATTATTTTACATAAAACATAAAGAAATAGACAAATATTACTTACATTTACTGATAAAATGAAAGAATTTATAGAGTCAGTTATCGTAGGNTTGATGCTTCTTGCACCCTTACGAATTCTTATTGTTGGGATACATAATGCTGGCAATAATTTTANAAGTCTAATATTTTTTTCTTCTAAAAATAGAAAGACATTACAAAATAAACAAACATTACAAAATAAATGTATATATTTTAGTTTTATTAGTACAATAGTGAAAAGAATTGAGTGAATTAAAAAAGAAACAAAATTTGATGGCATTAAGTGAATACATTAAATAACAATAGAAAATATGCTGCTTTTTCTTATTACCTTCTGATATGTTTTCATTTATTTGTTCAAGTTGTTCTTCATATATTCTATCTTTAATTTCAGTCTGCATAAGAGTATAAATTTTTCGTGAAAATTCTGGCCATTTATTGTAAATAGAAAGTACGTTTCCAAATTGTGCAGCATAATCAGATTCAATCTGTAAAAATGTTTGAAAATGATCACACACATCTTCTCCAAACTCTTTGATTTAACAATAGTATACTAATAATAGTATACAATATTTACTAATGTGTAACTCTGCGGTTGTTTTAAAATAGGCCATTTTGTAAAAAGCAGTTGAACATTTTCATCCCATGTAACCATATCTTTTATTCTAGCAAGTCGACTTGCTTCCCAATGTTCAACAACATCAGTCCATGGTTCGCTATTATGTTTTAACCATTGCAGATGAGGTTCGCACAATTTTAAACCTAATAATATATATAAACTACTTATATATAGAAATATATAAATATATGTATATATAGAAGTATTTTATATATAATATATAATATTACTATTTTTTAATATAAATATATAAATATAGCACTAATGAACACAGAGAAAATATTTGTCTTACGTTCATTATCCATTTCACATATCGCGTCAGTTACTGGTNAAACTGTTATACTATTATTTTTTTTGGATCTTATATTTATTATTAATCCAGAAGTTATACAGTCTCTGCGATTATTGCNATATCGATCAACAAATATTCCTTTACTTATTTTTTGATGTTTTCCTTCANGCAATGGTGGCACATAATACATTTCTAGTTTTTCTTTAAAATATGTAGCTACTTTAACAGCAAGTTCTTTAATATGTATATTTTTTAATTTGAGCCTAAATAATAATAAATATAAAAATAAATATTTTATATTAATTTATATAATTGTTTTTTACTTAATTTATATTATTATTATTTATATTATTTATATTATAAGCGTTTTCAATATTTATTTAAATTTTTATTGTTGCAAATATTTTTATTGTTCATGTATATTTTACTTATTGTGTGCTTTCTATTACTTACGGATATGGTTTCTTGGTAATAGCAGTTGATAAATGTGTTATAACAACATCTGCTAATTTTCTACGTATTTGTGTATTTAATTGACCATACTTTTTATAATGATTCAAAATTATAAGACCAGTGGCAGTTTCTTTTAAAAATCTTTCTATATTCTACAAACCGAAGTAATTATTTCAAATCTTTATATGTAAAAATTATATAAGCAAAAGTTTTGTAGCAAATTACGAAATGACAAGTATCAATTTTCTAAATACTTAACCAATGCAATATATAAAAAAGTTAAATGAAAATATGTACCAGTTGATGAATTGCCTCAAGAAGTTGTAATTCATCCATGTCATATAATTCAAGTTTTTGGTTTTCTTTGTTATGTTCTTGNTGCTCAATTTGTTCTTCATTATTTGAACAAACATGTTCTTTATTAACGTTTTGTTCAATATTCTCAATATGTACATTATCAACTATTTTACAATTACTTTCATCAATGTTTTTTATACTATTATAAAGACTGATTGTTTTGGATGAATTGTTTATTGTTATTTTGCTAGTATTTTTCATGTTTACTGAGTTAATTGGTATGGATGTTATATCAATGTCAAGTGGTATTGCATTTTNCTATGCATATGAAATATATAAAATTCTATATTAAAAAGTGTAGAGATACAATAAGAGATACAATATTTCATTAATATAATAAGAATAATGAAAGTAATAAAAGTGTAATGAAAGGAATTTACCTTGTTATCGCTAATTATGTTTGTTTCAGATCGAGATTTTTGAAATTTTTCTAAACTTTCTTCAAATTTAATTCTTTTACNCATTTTANGTATAAGAATTTCTATATTTTTTGAGCCAGGTTTTAGCCGTAGAAATGAATAAAAATCAATTTCTTNATCTACAAATATATTGTTTATTTATAGACTTTAGAATTAATTAATCATTTGTTACTATATTAATAAACGGTCAAAAACTTTATTTAAACAAGAAGAAATTGTACATATTTCTGTATCTTTTATTTCATGTGTTTTCTAGTTTACATGAACTACGATATTTTCGCAGTTTGACACACAATTACTTGTTATTTTCATCTGACTTTCACTGATTGAAATGTATCACAAAATATTTTGTTGACTTATAGTACATGTTATATATATACTATTCATAAATTTCCAGAAATATATAAAAGAATTTTCGGCGTATNGGCTCTTAGTACTAGTTAAATTTAGTGATTAGATATAAATAAATTTAGTAATAAACATGAAATAAAAGGTTATGNACATAATAAGATTATTAGATATAAGATTTAGTGGTTAAATGTAAATAAATTTATCNATAAAAATGAAATAAAAGGTTATGTACATAAGATATAAGATTAGAAACAGAAGATATATTTCTTACTTACTTGCAAAGACTTCTATGAGATCTGGAAAGCCCCAGTGTTTTAATAACGTTTCAACCTTTCCATCCATAGGGAAGAAATTGCGAGAAAAGAGAAAGAATCGGAAGAAACTAACACGGCTAGATTTATCACTCGCAGATCTCTCGTCCGTACGTCGCGTGTCCGCACAAGTCCTCGCCCCTGTATTCAGTGTCGCTGTTAGCGAACCGCGGACCGCGGAACGCAGTACGCGTATGAAAAGTAACACTGCACATGGTGGCAAAGAAACAGAATGTAGTACATTCTTCACTTTAACACAATAAAAACTTTGTGATAGAGCAACAACTTTTTATTATGTGTTAGAAATCACAATAATAATATGTACTACACTTCATTTTTAGCATCATGTGTGGTGTTACTTTTCATACGCGTGGTCGCGTGCTACTTCGCGCAGCCAGTGTCCTCGCGCTCGCTGCGTGATTCGCATTTCTTTTGTCCTTTCTACTTGTTCTCTTCATTATTTGTTTATTCGAGACACTGCAGCGTAACAAAACAAAAGTGCAAATATCAATTGATTGTAAGGTGATACTGATGGTTTTGTTGATACCAAAGAAATATCTCAGATTTGAAATAAATCGATCAATTTTGTTGTTGTTGTGTTCTTTCTCTTTTCACACAATGGATGAAACAGTCGGAAATTTATTAAAACAGTGGGGCTTTACTGATCTCATTCAAATATTTGCAAGTAAGTAAAGAATATACATATCTTATTTACTTTATATTTTATATATTGGGTAGTATTCTCATTTCATTTTTATCACTATTATATATTTAACAATTAATAAAGAATTTAGGCTCCTGAAAGTTTCAAACTAAGAAATAATAAATGGTCATGTGAGCCGATTGTTTATATATATATATATATATGCTGCCGTATACATATACAGTTAACTTTCCGCACATCTTGCGATCGGCTCACATAACCATTTATTATTTCTTAGTTTGACTATTATATTTATTTTTGAAAATTTACTATATATAACATAAGCTATTGTTCTACAAATGCTAAATGTATTTTGTGGATTTTATCAAAAAGTGACGTGAGAATGCTAACAAATGGTAGTTTATATGTTTTCAATATAGAATATAGACACAAAATAAATTAAAAATAAAACTAAAATTAAATTAAATTAAATAAATTAGATAAAAAAAAGTTTATGACCATTACCTATTATTTTAATTATTTTGTTAATCATATCTCTTTATAGGCGAAGAAATTGATTTTGTTTCATTTCTACGTTTAAAACCTGGCTCACAAAACTTAGAAGTTCTTATACCTAAAATGGGCAAAAGACTAAAATTTGAAGAAAAATTAGAAGAGTTTCAAAACTCTAGATTAAAAACACAGATCATTTTTGAAAACAAAGTAAGTTTATTTTATAGAAATAGAATGGAATATATCGTTTATCTTACAAAAAACGTTTTTATCCTATAAAATATTTATTTCTTATATATTATATATCTATTTCATATATGTTATATATATATACATACATATACACACAGGAAAATAAGATATCAAGTGATATGCCACCTAAAACAATTGATATATTATATGAAACAATTAGTCCTACAAACATGAATGAGACAGATATCAGTTTTATAAATGATACAGATATCAATATTATGACATGCAACACAGTTAGTCCTTTAATCATGGAACATGCAAGTAATATTGAGATAATTGATAAAGTACATGTTGAGAATATTGAAGACACTGATAAAGAAAAGAAACATGTACAGTCTAATGATGAGAAACTTATCGAGCAGAAAGAAAACAAAGAAGAAGAATTTGAAACGTGTGAAATTGATCAATTACAGCTTGTCAATGCCATTCGTAATCTGGTACGTATTTATAACATATTATGATGTAATTCTTTTATATTTTTTGCATTTGAATGAAATAATTTAATATATTAATTTAATATTAAGAATTACTATATATTCCATTGAATTTCAATAAAAGAAATTTTTATTCATAAAACATTTATGTAGAAAAATATAAAAACTTTTTTTCTTGTATAGAATCTGGAAACATTTTTAAAAGAAACAAGCACTGGCTTTATCATTTTAAACCACTATAAAAAGCATGGTAAATTAGATACACAAATGCGTAGAAAATTATCAGATGTAGTAATAAACCATTTACCAATTGTTATCACCAAGAAACCATATCCGTAAGTATAATACGAACCACAAAGAATATACACATGTATAAATAAGCAAATAAATTAATTCTAAATAACTAACATAATTGAAATATTATAAAGTAATATACAAAAATGTTTTATGATGTTTATACTAATTATTAGGCTTGAATTGAAAAATATGCACATTAGAGAGCTTGCTATCAAAGTAGCTAATTATTTTAAAGAAAAACCTGAATTGTATTATGTGCCACCTTTACATGAAGGACAACATCAAAAAATAAGTAAAGGGATATTTGTTGATCGATATCGTAATAATCGCAGAGAATGTATAAAATCTGGATTATTAAGAAGTAAAAAATGTAAAAAGAGTAACAGAAAGTCAGAAACACTATGAACTGATGAAATAAATATGGAATGTAAGTCAACTATTATTTAATTGTGAAAGAAATGAAATACAACATTTGATGTAAAAAATATATTTATTATAAACTAAAAAACATATATATATATAAATATATATGTATAATCTAGGTTTAAAATTGTGCGAACCTCATCTGCAATGGTTAAAACATAATAGCGAACCATGGACTGATGTTGTTGAACATTGGGAAGCAAGTCGACTTGCTAGAATAAAAGATATGGTTACATGGGATGGAAATGTTCAACTGCTTTTTACAAAATGGCCTATTTTAAAATAACCGCAGAGTTACACATTAGTAAATATTGTATACTATTATTAGTATACTATTGTTAGATCAAAGAGTTTGGAGAAGATGTGTGTGATCATTTTCAAACATTTTTACAGATTGAATCTGATTATGCTGCACAATTTGGAAACGTACTTTCTATTTACAATGAATGGCCAGAATTTTCACGAAAAATTTATACTCTTATGCAGACTGAAATTAAAGATAGAATATATGAAAAACAATATGAACAAATAAATGAAAATATATCAGAAGGTAATACAAAACAAATAACATTGTCCATTACTATTCAATTTATTCACTAAACTATAATATATACATATATTTCATACTGCCTGTATTTTCAGAAGAAAGAAATATTAGACTCCTAAAATTATTGCCAGCATTATGCACTCCAACAATGAGAATTCGTATAGGCAAGAAAAACATGAAGCCTACAATAACAGAATCATTGAATTCTTTTATTTTATCAGTTAATGTAAGTAAACCACATTATAAAAGTTGCTAATAAATATAACTTTTTCTATTTTTTTATATTTTATATGAAACAATGATATATGTGTGGAAATATAATTGCTGTAAGAGTGAATGGTTATTTTGTTTTATTGCAGAGTCCGGCTGATCTTGAACATAATATTGAACGTCAGAGGAATAGAGCAGCTACGTTAAAATTAACTCTGCAACCATTTATCATTTTCGTAGGACGTGACGCTAGCTCTGTCAATGCATATTATGTTTGCATCGATAATATATTATACAAAATTGAGAGTGCTCTCAAAGCTGTCGACATATGCTACAAATGCTTTTTTGCACTGCATGCTTGCTATCCTAAAGAATGTCAACAGATATGGCTTCTTATACAAAAATGTTTATATAAAATGACAACTGAGCACGATGTGAGCAATAACCAAGTTACATCCATTGAACTAGCATTGTGTAAAATGTGAAGATTGTCTTTATTAAGTTTTAAAATATTTCTTTGACAAATCAAANCAAAGGTAGATATGTTTTGTTTCACACGTTATTTTGAATAAAAAGTAATATTCTTACAATAATACTTTTGTAAAGTAATATTTTTCTACTTCATTTATTTGTCAGTTCATAAAGTTTATACAATATAAAGTTTATACAAAAAAATGTAATATCATTAAAAAATTTGAAACACTTTAACATAAAAATTTTGTTTTCTGTTACATATATAACATTTTCTATTTTTATTAAAAGCATTTATAACTGTTTGCATGTATTGTTCCATTCTTTAAAATATGTATACAGTTATTAATTGAGTTATATATGTATATTTGAACAAGTAAACATATGTGTGTTTTATAACATACAAGTATTTGTTTTTTATTGAGACATATATATTTGTACTTACAACATTGTTTATGTAATCTTAAAAGAATAAAGTACGTTTTAAGCATCAAATATTTTTTGTATATTAATATTGGTCAATTTATGTTTGTAAAGTATTACAAATATTATTGCATTAATTTAGCTACATAACATATATATATATATATATGTGTAAAAGTTATTTAACGAAAGCATAAAATTTTTTTAAGTATATCAACAGTGCGTCGACAACAAACTGTGAATACATCATACGTACCTAATTATTTAGTACAACTAACTAAATTTAAGTATTTATTGCACAAATGTTTGGTTACCTCGGTATCATATTGTTCTGTATTCTGCCGAACCAAATTATTTTCTATCGTAATATATCTTTTTGTTGAAATTACTAAAAACAAATTTATTGTGTAAGTGCAACTCAATTTTATATTGCTACTTACCAAATGTGAGTAACCAAATAACATTGCATTGTCAACTCAACAAGTTCACGACATTTTGTTAATCTAATCAAAAAAATATTATATTTTGCTAGTTTAATCAATCAATTTTGCTAGTTTAACCATTATTTAACGAAAAATGACTTTTTGTGAATAATGCTTTTTTTGGTTACTATTACTATAACTTTTTTCTCAGTGTATGAAGTGAAATATTGTGTTCGGCAATGAAAGCAGCGAATTTAATTTCCGCTGCTTTCTTTCGCTCTTCGAATGATAAAGTTTTGTCTGTCATAATTACATCTTCATCTGTTTGTTTTTTTTCCAATATACTTTTCTTTAGTTACATGTGCTGCGGATTCTGCGTGATCATAAATATGTGACAATCTTGCTGACATATATTTGTTACAAAATGAGCAGAAAAATAATTTAGTGTTATACAATACTTCGCATAACCATGGTTGAAATTGT